CCCTCCCAAACTTGCTTCAACCCATTCGGGCAATTGGGCTAAGAGGGAGTCCATGGGAGAAGGCAGGCAGGAATCCAAGGCCTGAGTGCCTAAGGGCTTTGTGATGCAAGGCAGATGTTAGCCACATTATAAAAAATTTTGCGTTAGGTGCGTGCATAACACTTGCACGTGGGGGCACGTCTCCAACACATTTTCATACGCTGGGACCCGCATGTCAGCCCCACTCAGTTACCTTTGAATCTGGACCGTTGATTTCCAGATCAATGGTCCAAGGTTTTAGGCCTTAAAAATTAAAATTGGAAAAAAAACCAGAAATGTTATGGTGGGCCACGTGTCACATTCTGGACTGTTGGATTTCAATATTTTTTTTTTTTGTAATCCAATGGTCCAGATTAATTAAGTTAATAATTTTAAAAAAAATATTAAAGATCCGAAAATTTTCAAAAATAAATAAATTTTTTTTTTCTGTAAATACCTTATCATTTTCTCCCACTTTACATCACATTTCAATATTTTTAACGATTGTAAACAATTAAGAACATGTCGCGCGACAAAATTGGCTAAAAATCTTATTGTAATCTATCTACAAAAAATTTACTTTCGGATAATGACACATGACGTGACGAGATTGATTAAAAATCCCATTCGAAATTTAAAATTATTTTTTATTATTTTATAAAAAAAAAATACTAATATTCTATTGTCTACTACCGTGGCTATTCAGTTTAGGGGTGGAGATGCAAAGGCAATTACTGTTTATTAAAGGCGGTTACTATTCAGTGGAGGGGATTCAATTGCCAATTGTCATGGGGGGCCTTCCTACACTGAAGTGCTCTTACAGAAAGTTCAAAGCAAAAGCTCCAACTACTTGCACCTTCCTGCTTTGTGGTGTTGTTTTTCCTCCCAACCAAAAAGGACACATTTGGAACTTAGAGGATCTGAATGCATACAACATTCACAACACCAACACAAAATCCTGTTCCGATTACCTAAAAAACGAACACAACATTGCATGACAAGTGACAACCAACTGCAACTAACTTCAACAAATAGTAACTATCACTTTACTCGACAATCTTGAAACTTCGAGACAGTAACTGGAATTAGCCAAATCTACCCTTATAGACTATAACTAAAGTAATCAACCAAACCATCCCAAGGGCTAGAAATAATATCCAACTTCCTCAATTGAAACTTACCCCTTTATCCTTTTGGCTCAACTCTACTGCCGATATCCTACATTTGTAAAAATTGAAAATTTGATATGCAAGATATTGTGTCAACAACAGGTGGAAATAACAGTAATAACCAGAAAGATCTAGTAATAAGTAGAAGACAGTGCAAGGAAACCAGCCCCTTCTTTCCACAATGATTCAAATGGCATCCACATGTAAATAAAATATAAATAAAACACCAAACAAACAATTGAGAGGAGAAAAACAGTGTGATCACTGTTTGTGGTGGTAATTGGAGCTGTAAGTCAAATTTAGTGTACCTATAATTATAGTGTACAAATCCAGTTTTACCTGAAAACAGGAACCTATTACAAACTGCATCCCTTACTGTTGAACTAATATCCCACTCACTTTTCTAATGATTTATTCGTCTCTCAACGGAACGGAAGTGTATATAACAATTATGTGTGGAGTGGAGGGCAAGTAACCAAATACAACTAATTACAAGAAACTATAAAGGAAAGCAAATGAATAGTTACACATACCAAGACCACAGACAAGCTTCTAAAAGGTAGACTTCAGCAGTGACTTTGTGAATAGGTAGGCAAGGTTGTCTTGGAATCAGATATGCTTTACTTCAATCTTTTGATGCTTTGCTGATAACAACACCATTCATTGAGCAGCCCAATATTGTAGTGGAGTCGTCAGGGCATTTCAAGGGCTGCTCAATTTTGACCGCTGTCCCGAACGTTTCACTGTCGTCAAAAGGCGATGAAAAGAAATCTGACGGAGGAGCGTTGCGTGACTTGAGTAAAATGGTGCGACCGGAATTGGTTTGGATGGAGCGTTGAAGATGCGCTTTGATGAAGCGATGGTCGTTGATGGTGGCATACCAAACTTTATAAATGCAGAGGAACCGAATCAAGTCCTTGGGTGGAAGCCGTGAAAGGATGTTGAACAGTATCTCCGGGAGGTCTGACATTTTTTTCTGAAGAAATCAGCTACGGATATGGAGTCTGGGTTTTAGGGAATTAGCTCTCTCTGTTTTAGTTTGGGCCAACAACCAAACAAAGCAACTCGGCTAGTCAAGATTGGCAACTCTAATGAGGACCGGCGTTACTTCTTGTCTTAACACACTCTTTTTCATGTTTATTTTTTTCTTCGTAAATTTTGCATGTTTTTTAGAAAGCAACGACATAGATATTTAATAGAATGAGGATCATAGGGTGCATAAAATAGGCCTCCCGATAAATACTTGCCGGAGATTTACAACCGGACTAAGGAAAAAAGAGCATTCCAGACTAGAATATAATGACAAAGTACTATTCTCAAATAGAAGATCAATGATTACATCAGGAGTTCCTTAAATCAAGTTAGAGAATTTTCCTGTGTTAAACTCAGTCGAGTCAACCTATGGGCTACCTTGTTCGTTGCTCGTCCACTAAACCTCGTCTTCTTCTGAGAAAAGGACTGCAAAGCATTATGGATATCAGCAATTTCATTCCCAAATTGCGATAAATCCTGCCCGCTTTCCTTTGCACAGCTGCAATCACCACAAGTGCGTCCCCTCTACCTCCTGGAGGCTCGTCACGTCAGGATTGATTTTGGTTAAATTTGAATCGGATTTGAGGCTAAATTTCGAAGTTTTTCGTTGTCTCTGCCACCAGTGGCGTAGCATCTTGTTTCGGCTCGGCCATATACTTCGACTTCATGCTTGTTCGTTGTGAGTGTTGGTTTCCACACTCTGTTAAGCTTTCTGCATATTTCCGTTTTATTTTTTATAAAATACACTAAGAGTCACTGAGACTCATGTATACGATACAAATCAAAGATTGAGAGGAAATAATTCCTGATAAAAAGGTGGCAATCCCTACTCTCGAGTGCCCTGCCTAATTCAATTACACCGCATCAGCTACACTGTCCACTCTGCTTGAACATATACACTTCCTACTCTCTCATACTAGCCTCCGTAACTTGGAAATCTGGTCGACTTGGAATTCATGAAAGAGAAAAATAGGTCAACGAGAAAACATTGCAAACAAAATCCACAACTTTCAAACAGTACTGATATGCATGAACAATTTCAGCACTGTTTGGCTTATGGATCCCAAAAAAGCAATCTGTAATAATTCACATATAGTTATTCGTCTGAAAATTAATCCTGCTCAAAATTTTCAACTGATTGCAGCATAAATCAACCAATAATCGAAACAAAAGCGATCGGGATAGCAGATGACATATAATTTTGTGAAATTTGGCTTCATTTTGGCCGTTCGAAACAGCCTCATATTCTCTTTGCATACCTAGCATTTCTTCATGATACATGTTCATTGCAGACTACAAAGAACTGAATCAATGGAAGGGTTTAAATACTTTGTTTTATCTTTTGATGATTTCTCTCGAGTTAGTTTCTTATATCTGATGAAATCAAAAAGTGAAGTGTCTACTATTTTCAAGGATTTTCATATGCATGTTAAAACACAATTTCAATCAAATATTAAGGTTTTAAGGTCAGACAACGGCACTGAATTTTTGTCCAACAACAAAAATGGAGATAAGTGCACAGGGCATTTTTGTCCCATAATACATAAGTGCATAGGGCATTATTCATCAAACAAGCTGTGTAGGAACCCCTTAACAAAATAGGGTAGCCAAAAGAAAAAAATAGAGAGATCTCTTGGAGAAGATTCGTTCTCTCATGATACATATGAATGTCCCTAAAAGGTTTTGGTCATTTGACATCCTCACTGCTACTTATCTCATCAACCAACTTCAAGTCAAGTGATAGGGTTTAAATCACCCTATGAAGTACTTAAGGCAAGGCAAATCGATTTGACACATCTCAAGGTGTTTGGTTGTGTTTGCTTTGTTCACATCCAAGCCCTGAATCATGACAAACTAGATGCCAGGGCAACCAAGTGTATATTTTTAAGGTACTTTTCCACCCAAAAAGGATACAAGTGCTTCAATCCGGTCACTAAGAAGTGCCTAGTGTCAAGAAACATGAAGTTTGAAGAAGATTGTCCTTATTTCACCCACAATGGAGCCATTACAAGTTAGAGGGAGGAAGTATTTGACATATTTCCACTTCCTCAAAATTTTAATAATCCAGTGTTGGAAGAAAGCTCAATCACTGTAATTCAAGATAACGGAGAAGTTCAAGATAACTCGAACACTTCCAGAAACCAAACTGGCAGTGAAGGAGACATACACATTCAAATCATTCTTAGCCCTCAAACGAGTTTCAAATGATCAACAAAAATCCTTCTTGAACAAGGAAACCTCTAGCGAGGTTGAAAGACTATGTGACTTACGCTTCACGGTACCCCATCACTCAAAGTATCAGTCTTCGTGGACTCTCCATGGTGAAATTGATAAGCATTATGAGCCAAGAACCTTTCAAGAGGCCACTCTACTCCCACCGTGGAATCAAGCCACGGCAGAAGAGCTTAGAGCAATGGAAAAAAATCACACATGGAGCCTAGTTCAACTTCTTCTAGGAAAAAAGGCTATTGGAAGTCGTTGGATTCACAAAACCAAGTTCAAAGCTATTGGTTCCATCGAGAAGCACAAGGCTCAGCTTGTTGCTCAAGGTTTTACTCAAACATTTGGAGTGGATTATAATGAACCATTTGCCCTTATTGCCAAGATGAACACTGTGAGCGTTTTACTCTCTGTGGCAATCAATTGTGGATGGACTCTTTATCAAATGGATGTGAAGAATGCATTCCTTCACATAGAATTACAGGAAGAAGTGTATATGCAACCTCCTCCAAGCTATGATGTTTATCAAAGGGGCTGTTTTTACATAAACACAAATATGTGATGGACCTTCTCAAGGAAGCTAAAATGCTAGACTGCAAACCTGTTATCACACCTGTTGATTGTAAACTGAAGCTCGACATTGATGGAGAAGCTATGCATGATTTGAGCTACTATCAAAGATTGGTGGGCAAGCTTATTTACCTCACTATCACTCGTCCAGATATCACACATGCAATGAGCTTAGCCAGTCAATTCATGCACTCTTCCACTTTGCATCATTTCAATATTGTTAAGAGAATCCTACGATATCTCAAAGGTTCCATAGGGAGAGGAATTATCATGCACAATAATTATTCCACTACCATTAGTGGGTACATGGATGCAGATTGGGCAAGGAATGCAATTGACAGAAAATCTACTACAGGCTATTGCACATTTGTTGGTGGAAATCTAGTCACATGGAAGAGTAAAAAGCAACAAGTTATCGCTCGCTCCAGCGATGAGGCTGAATATCGAGCAATGGCGGCCACGGCTTGTGAACTAATCTGGCTTAAAAGTCTCCTTTCAGACTAAGGGTTTCCTAGTTCCACTCTTATGTCACTTATTTGTGATAATCAGGCAACCATGCACATCGCTACTAACCCTGTGTTTCACGAAAGAACCAAACATATTGAAGTGGATTGCCATTTAATCAAGGCTCAAGTTCAAACTCAAGTCATTAGTACAATATTCATGTGAAGCCATGATCAACTAGCAGGTCTTTTTACCAAGGCACTGTCATTGGTTCAACTTCATCGTTTTTTAGGCAAGCTTGGATCGATTAATATCCTCGATCCAGCTTGAGGGGGAATGTTGTAGTGTACACACCTTTGGTCTCTCAGTTTCTAGGGTCACCAAATCCTAGATATCAAGGTCATCATTATCTCAAAGTGTAAAACAGCTATCTTCCCTTGATTTAAGGGAGTTGACATGATTAGCTTCATAACCTAGTGTTTGGTGTAATCTCCTTGCTTTAAGGATTGGATTAAGACTAGGTTTATCCAGTCACTAGGGTTTCCTAGTTGGTTAGTTGTAGCCATCTCTCTCTCCTCTTTTCTCTCATATATACTTGGTATATTGTACATCGAAACATATGAAATATATTATAATTTAAATCAGAAAATCAACAACTTTCAACAGAAATGCTAATATATAGTTAAATCTTCTTGGTGGGTATATTTAATTCTCATTCAATTTCGAAGTACTTACGCAATAATTAGCAGCTGTAATCCAAATCTAACAAATCTTGAACCTCAGTAAATAAAGTCATTAATTTTTTACAGGCTGCATTTGATGATCGAAGTATTATTTATTTTTACCTCTGCATACATCATTTATGAAAGCCTAGTGATCCCATGCATACTTTCTTCTGAGGCTTCTCCGGCTAATGCTAGCTGCTGCTGCTGATGCTGCCGTTTCATTCATTAACTAATCTCAGTCCAACGATGCTTTCAATTTAATTTGGTTTTCTGATTCTCTAACACTTCATTTAATATTTCCTTCCTCAAATGGTTCACAAATTTATCCTCTTATGAACAATTAATTAGGGTTTTCTTTTCCATTTTGTTCTTTCATGTATTAAATTTTAGTCGGTAAAATAAATGTAATATAGGCTCACAGGTCACTCGTCACTGCCATTAGGTTTAGGTTTAGGTTTAGGTTTAGATTCGCGTGAATAGTGAGTTCGACACCGAATTATTGCAGCTGACTTGTTGCATGGATTAGCCCAAATCATTGAACTCCATGTAAATATATCGTTGGCAAAAATAAGTTGCATATTAAAATGAGAAATTTCATGAAAAGGGTTTGGGCTAAATTTATTTTAACAAAAAACCATCATATAACTTTATTTAATGAAAAATACTTAAATTTTATTAATTTTGTTTTTTAATTTTAATAAAAATCACAAAAGAATTTAAATTTTAATGAAAAAGACATAATTTTAATATTAAAAAAAAATTTAGAAAAAAACTTACATACTATTTATGAAACTTACTACACTGTTTATGAAACTTAACAGTACTACATTGAAACTTATTACACTATTTATGAAACTTAACGACGCTACACTGTTTATGAAACTTAACAGTACTACACTATTTATCATACTTAACGGTACTATGGTACTACATTATTTATGAAATTTAACAGTACTACACTGTGTATATAAGTATATTATTTCTTTTGCCTTAAGTAGGTACGAGTGAAATTTACATATATCACTTATATATATAATTTATTATACACATGAAAATACACCTTACGAGATCATAGTACTAGACGTGCGTTTGTGTTATCTTGCTTTGTCAAAGGCTAAATTTTTGAATGGAAGTGACATGTTTTTGCAATGCAAGATTAAAGTTAATTCCAAGTATTGTTGAAGGATATTGGATGGTCAAGCGCGTATGATGTTGGAACAAAAGTTTGCCTACAGAGGAAGGTTGTATCGTGTAATGTCTGAGGCAAGCCAATTTCCTAGAGATTGATGCAGATATTTAACCATCATTTGTGGCGAGGAGCATCATCTTTGATTTTTATCAAGGACTCGATCACTGCAATGACGAGGAAGAGAGGTTTTTGGTTTGGTTTTTTGGGGGGGTTGTAATTTGTGGGAGGCGATGGGCCAATGCTTTTTATTTTCTGGTCCTTATCATTAAACATAATTATTAGATAGTTTTTGGTTAAAATACAAAGTTTTAAAATCATTTTTATTAGCTTTTCTTAGTAAAATCCATCGAAAAAATGTTAAGCCAATCAAATAACATGATGAACTTTTGTGTAATTTTGTGGTTATTAATGTTGATTTGGAAAGCAAGTCTGACAAATGCAAAACCTATTGGTCATCAGTATCCGGGTTTTCCGCATAAACCATGTTTTGACCATTATTTTGTAAGTGGGATTAATTAATGTAATTGTTTTGGTCCAATTGTAATCCCCTTCTCTTTTCAACTATTTTCACTTTGTCGCAAATGAATAGATGGACCTTGACCAAAAATATGCTATAGTCTATTCAATCAAAATAATTAAACTTTCATCAACGACCATTTTTTATATATTGGATTTATCCAACTCAATGCTAGGCACTGTATATGAGCCCTCAGTCTCTGCTTCATTAGAGAAATAATAAATAGATCTCAGCCTACACGTAGAGGAAACAGATACCAGTAAAAATGAGGTATACGTAAATTAATGGATTTTGTTGCATACGACGTTTTATCATAATGACGGAAAACAATCATTCTTATGCACTCTGTTGCAAGTTCAATCCTTACTAATCCCCTCTCCCTAATGCTTTCATGCCCTATGTGGGGAATTCGAATATTAAGTCATGAACCATTAATTTCTATGGAGTTTGATTGAGACCAATTTGTTTTCTGCAACGTGGACTTTAATTATTGGTAATGGTCCACAAAATATATAGTTGGCGTGACAATACTGATTGTTTTAGAGCTCGTTTAGATATGCTTTTAAAATGATTGAAAACGTTTTTGGTGAAAATGTTTTTTAAACCAATCCTTAGTAAAAATGCAAGTAAATTCGGGAAAAGCACTTTAAATGCTTTTGAAACCAAAAAATATTTTCTCTAAAAGTACTTTCAGTTATTTTAAAAGCACATTCAAACGAGCCATTAGTTTATAACAGCATTTCATTTGTGAATCGAATGCAGATTTTGCAGTAAAAAAAAAAAAAAAAAAAAAAAGCCACAAATTAATGGTGGTAAAAGAACTTGTTGATTTGAAGCTAACAGCCAAGGAAGAAGCATTCAAACACCACAGAAATCATCTGTTCCCATTAAAAGCGATGGAAGCTATCTTTATTTAAGATATGGTAAAATAAAAACTTACTTGTTGAGATATTTATTTGTGGAGCAACAAAGCACTACGGACCTAATACCATTTACAATCACATGCCTCTTTCAGAGTGACCTCAATTTATATTCTTATTATGTTTTTGTGATTGCGATGGATCGTCTCATTGTCTAGTATGGTATGTGTACATAACGTTATAAGAAATCACAGTTATGTAATTTTAATTTTTACCATTAGTTTGTGTCATTCGTCGTGGACACTTGTCATACATTTACGTCCTTAAAAATGTAGGTCATGAAAATGAGAGAAAATAAACAAGAAATGGGAAAAGGAAAAATATGAAAGATTAAAGGTTGCTTGCATATTTTTCTTTTATAAGTAATCAGCTAGCTACTAGCATAAACGAACCATCTGTTTTTTTTCTCACCATGTATGAAGAAATGTCAAATTTGAATTTCTCTTCGTTCAAAAGGAAAAGATAAAGTCGTTCTACAAACAGAAATGACGTGCTCTAGTTTAGTTCAGTTCAAATATTGAAACATAGTTTCAACCAATATGATATCAAGGATCGACTTAGGCTTCGGTTAGTAACACAAACGAGCGACATTGATTCGTTCAGTTTGATTTTGTCTACATATTTCCCTTCACAAGAAATTAAGAAATATTTTAATAACTTATCCAATTATTACAACGAACTTTCATACTATAGATGGAGAAGTTTTGAGAGAGATGAAACTAATAGTAAAGGACTAAACCAATAAGGAAATGGCAAGCGTAAATCATTTTTGTCAAAGGGCCCCCTTCTATTTGCGCGGTCATGGTTAAGCCACGTTAATATTTTATATTAATTTTTTAATAAAGATAATAAGACAAAAAGCAATAAGAATATAAAATGTTGACATGGCTTAACCATGACAGCACAAATAGAAGGGGATGGAGCTCTCTGACAAAGGTGATTTACGCTGGCCATTTCCTTATTGGTTTAGTCCTTTACTATTAGTTTCATCTCTCTCAAAACTCTCACAACCTTCCCATCCCTTTCTATTTGTGCAGTCACGGTTAAGCCACGTTAACATTCTTATAAAGAACATCTCTTCATCATGTATAACATGTTTGGAAAGAATTAAAGAATTTTAAAAATTTAAAATCAATGATAAATATGATGATAAGCATTATTTTTACTTGAAGGTTGTGAGTAAAATACAATGGACTAATAGGTTTTATGTTGCGTTGCGTTAATTTGAGTTTGCTCAAATCTGTTCGATTGGACTTTATAATGCAATAGCATTACCTTCACTTAAGGATACTCACCAAAATAAAACAAAAAAAAAACCAAAAAAAAAAAAAAAAAAAGAAAAAGAAAAAAACACCTAACAGCATATGACCAAAAATATCCTAATCCTGCATCCAAACAGTGGAATCCACTACTGAAAGCTGAGCATGCAGGCACCTTATCCCCGTCTCCAAACACTCTATTTCGTGTGGTCTGGGCAAACTCGGGTGAGAAAATGAAACTCCCAAATTTACAATCACAAGCAATCTCTTCAGGGGGAGAGAGAAATGAAAAGGGTGGGTGGGAAGTTGCTTTCATGAGGGTATTATTGCAATTATAAAAGTTATTAATATTTAGGGGAAATTTATTTTATTTTTTTGCTTTTATTATTTTTGCTTGTCACGCAGCATCAGTCTTATCACGCAAAAAAATATTAGGAAAAAGGAATATGG